GGGAGTGGGAGCGTGCACGGCCCGGGGGGGGTGAGAGTGGTCAAAAGAACAGGGAGAGAAAAGGAGACTGGGGAGTAACTCAGTCTTTTGGCAGAGCTGACAACAGCAAACCTTCAAAAATTACGACATGGGCTCGAAAGTAAGTTCAGTTCTGTTTCTTCGCTGCCCTCAGATCCTCTTTCAGCCTCCTTTCCCAGGCAGAAGAACACTTCCTTTGCAAAGAAACCAGCTGAGGCTGGTACAGCACCGCGTCAGTCTCACAGCACAGGCTTCAAGGGAAAGATAACAAAACAAAACAGCAGATGCTGCTCTCTGGCCCACCGCACTTTGGGGAGCACGAGCACAGAGAGACTGGGCTCAGGCCCGGAGGCCGGGCAGCACAGCCTCAGCCTCTGGGGAGCTGCAATCCACACTGGAGATGAACCCCACGACAGAGCTCACCCCTTTGCTTCCCCTGCGGCACCCATGCACCCACTCTCGCACAGGAGCTGGGATCCCTGGGGTGCCAGGTGTGCAAAGCCACAGCAGCACAGAAAAGCCACTGCCCTGGTATGCCATCTGCCACAGGAGGGACGTGCCACATTCTGCTGCTGCTGCTGCTGCTCAGCCCCTGCAAGCCCAGGGCACGGCCACAGGTCTCTGTGCTCAGGCTGCGGTGCTGCCAACAGGGAGGATGTACATGCCGTCCCTCTCCTCCCATCCCTGCCCTGGCTGTGCACGCACATTGTACATCAGCCTGTTTGTATCATGGCAAAGCACTGTGCTGTCCCACACCACACTGGCTCCAGTGCTGTTTTCTTCCACGAATCTGCCGGGGACCAGGGCTATCTGTTGGCTGATGGCTCATGATGAGTTCCTGCATAGCACATGGCTTGCTGAGGCATCAGGTGAGCAGGACAGTGGGAAGCAGCATGCAGCACTAGCTATAGCAAGGAAGCCCTGCACAGATTGGTTATAAAACTCCCTGTCTTGATTTTACTGCCTTTGGTAAAGCTTGGTAAATATTTCTGGGACAGGCAACTCCTTGTCTGGCTGTAATTACCTGGGCAAATTTTCCTAAGGATTATATTGACCTCAAATATGTCAACATTTATTTAGGCCACGTTCCGGAGGCTTTTCCCATTAGATACTAATGGATTCTGGCTAATAGTCAAGCTGGATTGACCACTGGATGGTGCCCTGGCCAGCTCTGGGATACCACAAGTACCCAGGGAGAGGGCTGGGGAGGGTTACACCAGCTCTGTGCAGCCAAATGTAAAATTCATCATGGCCCCAATCCAAGGAGATCAGGGAACATGCTTGAGCAATTGCATTCCTAACTATCTGCTTCCCTGGGCATGATTCACGCCAAGTTGTGGCTGTGTGAGACTTCAAGCAAAGGTTGCTTTCTCTTGAGACTGTTCCCTCCCTGCAGGAGAGAGGAGTCCAGCACCCTTCTGCAAGGCTCCCATTTGCTTCTGTCCCTCAGGACCCTGCCAGGGCCGGAGCCGTGCTCAGCACCGCTGTCACTCGCCACCGCAGCACCAGAAAGCCACGTCACACTGGTTATTTTGAAATCGTTTCCCTCCAGCCTGGTGGCTGGCAGCTGGGTGCCTCTGGCTCACCGTGTGCATCTGGTGTGGTTGTGGGTGAGAGCAGTGTCTAGGTCCCTCGCTGGTTGTGCCACCCAAGGCTGGGCATAAGCACATGCTCCACTTCCCTTCTGTGTGTCCCACACTGCCTGCCAGCCAGCTGCCAGGCTTGCACGCACGCTGACGCCCTCCGATTGCTCAGCTCTGCGTGGCTGGGCAGTGGTTTCAGATGCGTGTGCACAGGTGCACGCAAGGTGCACGCCAGCTTCTGTGCCTACACATCTGCACAGGGAAACAGCCTCCACCGTTGTCCTTGACCCAGGCCCAGCTCCCCTGGCTCTCCAGACCCATCCTGCTTCCCTGCCAGCTCCTCCAGCAGGACTGCATGTCCGTGCCAGGCATCCCCGGGTTGCCCCGGCAGCAGATGGCCCTGCAGCCTCCCCACGCACCAGCCCCCTGCTCCCGCTGCCTGCCTGGCTCCTGCTACCCTGATCACACAACAAGATCCGCAAAAGAACTGCAGTGCACCCAGGATTCACCTGCTTGCTCCCAAGTATTTGGGGTTAATCACGTCCTGAGCAGAAACAGCAGTTTGAAATCCTCTCTTTTCCTTCTTCTCTTATTTTATCAAGAAGAACCAAATCCAGCCACAGTCCCCAGGGTAAAACTCACAGCGCTGAGCAGGACAGTGTGCCGGAGGGGAGAGCCAGGGCAGGAAGGGAGGAAAATGCCAGGCTCGTTTCAGGCTATGTCCTAGGAGAGTCACCCTCCCCGCCATGTCCCCATTTGCCTCCATAGCTCAGCTGGACTCGTGCTGGGGCTGCTCTGGGCCTGTCAGTCTGGGACATGAGCAGGACTAGGTCCAGCCTACCTGATCAGAGCTATGTCCTGCAATCCTGCAGCCAAACGTAACCCATTCAGTGCCAACTTCGGACCACCCCAGCGCTGCACTGGGCACAGGGCACGTTCGATCCATGCCTCCGTCACGGGAATGAGATGCTCAGGTGCTGCAAGGCAGAGGCGGGTTTTGGGCCAGATAACAACCTGCCTTCATTGCAGATAGTTGATTAGTTTGAAGGCAGCTGCTCTATCTTGAAGGACTGAGGTCTGTGCTAGCAGCCGGGACAGGTGCTAGCAGGACAGCCATCCTGGCAGAGGCACAGCAGCTCTACGTCTCCGGGTCTGAATTCCTGGGGAAGGAGAGGCCTTTTCCTCCATGTGCTGGGGTGGCCACTGCCTCCTCTTTGTCCCCCAAAAGTCCAGTGTGTGATCACCAATTGCTGAGAGGGAGCACTGGTATCACTTTGCAGGAGGATACCTCCAAAGAGCAAAGGGAAAGGCAGAAAAGGAACGAAGCAGCAGCAGAGGAGAGACATAGCAGCTGAGTATGGTATTTTGTCTCCCTCCAGCCAGGAGGAATGTGCCTCTCCTGTCCCTCCCCTGCTGTTTCCTGGCCCCAGCGAGGGCAGGCATCGTGGGGACTGCTGGAAGTGGGACCTGGGAGCACAGAGGCGAAGGATTGTGCTGGGGCCCCATGGGACAGCCTGGCTGTGGCTCTCGCATCTCCCCAGCCCTGCTCACTCTGTGCCAGGGCAGCAGCACAGCTACACCTGATGAGATACAGGAGGCAGGGGGGTCCAGGGCCCTGCGTGAAGGACCCTGCACCCCACTGCACCTTCCAGCCCAGCAGGATCCACAAGCCTTGACCGTTCAGCCCCAAACCACCCTGCTGTTGGCTAGCCCTGCTCCCTCCCATGCCGTCAGCCTGCAAAGGCTCTGGACACAGACTTGTTGCACCCCAGATGCCTGTATTCAGCACAGGTAGAGCAGACCACAGAAGCAGAGACTTCCCTGCCTGCAAAAGTCATTGCCTCGCCATTTCCGTTAGTGCTCAAGAAGGGGCTGATTTTAGCAGAGGTAAAACCTCAGCCAGAGGTTTGTGGTCCTTGCCACATGCAAAACTCCGTGCTCATTTTCATTCTCCCACGCTCAATAGAGAGGTAAAAACTTTCCCTCCAGGGTTCCCTCCTGCCACCCCCCCAGCACTGTCACAGCCCTCCCAGGCAGGGAGAGGGTGCACGCACAGCTGCTTCTGATGCATCACCCTGCAAGGGGAGTCCTCAGGTCAGGCCTTGCTGGAGCCCTCGCCTGGTCACAGGTGCTGGGATCCAAGCACAGGGACTGCCTGCTTGTCCCTCCTATAGTCACCATGTTTGTCCCCTTCTCCCTTCCCTGGCTCCCAGAAATGACAAGGCAACACCAGGAGCGGCGAAAGCAGACAGCAGCCCACAACAAGCACGTGGAGAAGAAGGTGAAGAGCCTGCAGGAGCAGCTCAGTATGGCCCCTGGGCATGCCTGCCCCTTGCTGGTGCGTGGGGATGGGATTCACTCCAGGGCAGCAAAGTGCACTTGCAGGGAGCAAGGGGAATGGGAGTCATTCACCCTGTGCTGTCAGTACAGCAGCAGCTGAAGGCAAATCCTGATCCTGTTCCCGGTGCATCCCCAACCTTGGGAGATGCTGACTGCAAAGCGGATGCTGCGATCCCACCCCTGTCCCAGAGCCCTCTGCCATCCCAAGAATGAGGGGGATCGTGCAGGGGCTGTGCCGCATACTGCCTGCACCCTCCCGTGCACTGGTCACGCAGTACCAGGCTCCTGTGTCCACGTGCTCAGTGTCCCCTGCCTCTGTCCCCACACCCCACAGCCACCAGGCTCTGGGAGAGCCAGCAGACCCGGGAGACTGCCACCCAGGCACTAGCAGAGAGGGACAGGACCATCGCCCATCTGCAGAACAGGCTTGATGCCATGGACAGGGCGTATGAGAAGATCCTCCACATAAGTGGGGATGTGGCTGTGGGTAGCTCCCCCTGGCAGCGCAGGCCCCCCTCCTCACTGTCCTGTTTCCCACCAGTGTAGCCTGGACTTTGTGCTGGCCAAGACAGCAGAGGCCAGCCAGCACTGTGAAGAGGTAGGAATGACCATCGCCGTGGAGCACAAGGAGCGCTGACAGGATTTCAGCCTCAACCCCCTGGAGATATAGCACCCTGGGACAGGACAAGCTCTCAGCCCCTGCCTCCCTATCAGCACACTTGGACATCTTCCCACATCCACTGCCCAACATCCCAGCTGCCCCAGGCTAAGTACGAGAAGATGGGTCCTCTCTGGCCCTGGGCTGCACTGCTGAGTCACAGTCCTCTCCATAACACTACCCACACAAACAGCAGTGTGGATTTGTCCTTTAATCACACCCCAAACGGGTGATGCAAGAACAGTGCTGTGATGGGTGGTGGACACTCACTGCCCACAGGTTCACAGGGAGGATGAGAGGAGGAGCATAAGAGAGATGTCCATGCTGGATCAGACCTGAGCCAACAGGCTGAGAGGCGGGGGGTTCCTCCAGTGCCCCATCAGCCTCCGCTGCTCCCTTTCCCCTTCGCACAGCAGCCCGAAGGCCAGCCCTGGGCTGAGCCAAGCCTCAGGCTCCGCAGTCCTCTGGGTCATGGTGTGGAGAGCAGTGCCTCGACTCTCCTGGGAGCTCCCAGAGCCTGGAGCTAGGCAAGGGCTTCAGTGCAATGTCCCTAGATACCCCTGGAGGCAGCTGGGCAGGCAGAGACACAGGCCTGTCTTCAGGTTACAAGAAGCCACTGTCATGGTTAATGAAAGCTTGGAGCCAGCCTCGCTCAGTGGAGATGAATCTCTGGGAGGTGTGACGCTGCAAGCTCCACAGCAGATGTGCGTGCAACGGCCATGCTGAGCAGTGCTGTGCTCTCCAGGGAGCCGGGCGGGGGGCACCGATGGGCTGGATGTGGCCTGGGTCGAGGCACCATGTGGGGCAGCCTGGCCAGAGGCAGGGTGCCCCTGGGCTGCTAGAATGCCTGGTGCAGCCTCCTCTGCTCCTCCTGGCGTGGGCTCTGCAG